TGAGTTTTTTTATTCTCTGAAAAATTTTCCATCCCCCAACATTAAAGGTTTGCAAGAAAAAGAACAAAGCTCAGAGAACCCCAAGGACTCCACATTTATATCAGTAAATGAAGTAGTTGAGCTTTCTTGTTATGCCTCCTAAGAAGAGATTGCCTCATTTTTTCCTTACCATAATTGTTTTCCAACAGTGTTCAGCGTAGACTGTAGTACAGTGGAATGCCCCCCTGTCCAACAAGTTGCCTGTCCTTTGGATAGCTATGAAACTCAAGTCAGGCTGACAGCAGATGGATGTTGCACTCTTCCCACAAGGTTTGTTATGTCTGATGTCATAGTTTCACAGTCCATGTATATTGAGGCTAAATGTAAGAACTTAAGATATTTGTAACAGAGAAGTCAAGTATACTAGTGTGCTGATTATTAAGTATGTTTATTACTTTAGCTAATGTTAATAAAGCATGTTGGGTTTGAAATGGAAGATTTCCTAGATTCAGTAATCACTCTGTGAATGTGTTAATGACTGTCAGCCCTGGAACAGCTTTCTTTCAGTCCTGGAATGTGTTTTGAGGAGAATCTTTTCTAAAAAAAAAATAAAAATACAGCTTTATTTAATATGCAACATTTGTGGTATGTATAAATAGGTTTTATGTATGTATGGGTGTCAGGATTGTTTCTTGGGGTTACCCCCAAATCTTTGTAGCATTATATTGGGTTATCTTAGTAGGAATATATGTTTCCAGTAAATCCTATATGGCAAGGAGCTGTGTATGTTTTTTTCGGATTAACAGCTATAAGATATAACATGTGATACATTTTATTACTCAAATATAGCATTTCACTTTAGAAGTAGTGTGCTGTCTGTGTCATTCAGGCACCACTTCAATTAGTTGGGGGGAAAAGGATAATCTGTACATGATACAAATCAAAAGATCTGCAAGAATCTTGAAACTGTCCGGAAGCTAATCTGTGAAATTTATGCCTGTCTGGTTATTCTTCCTGCCTTGAGTTTAGTCCCCTTGTAGATTTGTAGAGTATTTTTTAGTAGGGCTATTTAGTTCTTTGGATTTGAAGACAAAAAGGTGCTTCAGAATATGTGGAAACATAAACATTGCACCTGTCTCCAGTTCCTTAAACCAAATGTACAAACCAGGATTGTATAGCATCTGGGGAGGCAACTACATGATTTTGGGAAAGACACAACTGTTTTACGAAGGGGCAGGCATACTACATTTGTCTTTCCACACACTCTGAAGCAACTTTTTGCTTTTCAGTCTAAAGCATTGTACAGCCCTACAACCTAGTCATTTCCAAATATCACTTTAATATCTGACTTGTGGCAGAAATTGCCCTATAATTACAGATTATCACATTGTTCAGGCATTAGTTTTATAAGAAACCACAGTAACAGAAATGTGTCAGAGAAAACAAAGAAAAATATAGTGCCTAGTTTCAGACTTCCAGACTTGTATATGTCCATACGTATTAAGTGATGAATGTGAAAGGACCTTTTAACATTGGTAGTAGTATATTGTAAGGTATCTGTCTGAGCAGTTTGTATACACCCAGTTTCTTTTAATGGAAGAAGCATTTATTTAATATGGGGCATACTCTAATCAGCAATAGGTCTGAATACATGAGAACAGAAAAACAGACACAACCAGTGCCAACTCAGATAGGAAGGCTAGGGAAAAACTGTTTCAAATTGGGTGTGATCCAGCCAAAATCTGTTTCAAGGATTCTCTGGGTTTCTTACCATTCTTGCAACAATATATATAAAAAAGAGTTGAGGCTAGAACTTTTAGGAAAGGTTCCTCACAAAAATAGCTCAGATTTTCTTAGATCTGAAAGCTTTTCCAACAGTTTTTTTGTATTTTGGTATTACGTTCTCTCTAGGAAAAAAAAGTAAGACTCTGAACTGTTGCCTCCCTCCCTGTAGTCAAAATGAAGACTTTGTCAGCATTTACCTGTGCAGGCTTAGAAAATAGATACAAGGTACAGTGGGGCAAAAAAGTATTTAGTCAGCCACCAATTGTGCAAGTTCTCCCACTTAAAAAGATGAGAGAGGCCTGTAATTTTCAT